CGTGACTGAGTGGGGGCTGGCACCCCCACGACTTCTTTGCTGATGAAGCCTGCGCAGACGGCTATGCAGCCTTTGGTCCATCCCCTGGCACACCCACCGCCACCCACGGGGGTTTTGAATGTGCCGGCGGGGCAGGCTCTGCCTCCCGGTCTGCCCCTCTGCGCGCCATGCGGACCGGCTGATTTGATTTCATTTACAGTGCCGGCATCAGTCATCCAACAGCACGTCTTGGGCGGGACACCCATGTTGTTCTCCGCCCTGCCCACTGTGGGACTGACTCCCGCGCCGGGGGTGGTGTGTGCCTTCCACGCCCTGCCTGCCATGGCGCCACCCCTGCTGACAGCGGGGTTCAATGCTCTGCCTTTCGCTCCACCCACCGCTCTGGTTGCAGCAAGTCCGCTGCCACCACTGGCGCCGAGCTTACCGCCGCCGCTGATACCGGGACCAGCAGAGGTGCTGCGGCTGCTGCCGCAGCCACCAACGCAGAGAGACGCAGCTGCGCTGCCCGAGCCACTGGAACTGGCGGCGTGCCAGTGGCGGGGGGGCAGTGCCCAGAGAACACAACAGATCCCGCCACCCCGGGGGAGACTGCTCCCCCCGTTCCGCTCGTGGCAGGGGGGCAGCGCCTGCGGAGTGACTCATCAGCTGCGACTCCGCCCTACAATCCAGTGGCCAAGAGCCCAGTGCTAAACAACAATTCCAGCCCGATTGTTTCAGGCCCTGCACCCAACCCACCACTCCCTCCACTTCCCCCAGACTGCCCCGAACTCTGTCCCTCTGAGGCAGAGGCAGCAGGAGGGAGCACCGCCTTGGTCCGCAGCAGCATCGCTGCTGCCGGTCCCGAAGTTGGGGGGGAAGGGGGTGGGGCCACGAATCAGGGAGCTGGGCAACAATTGATTTTAGTCCGCGGCAGCGCAAACACACTTGGAGAGAGGAGAAGCCCCTATTACTGGGCAGGCATGAGTGGTGCCAAGAGCCCCAAAACCAGGGTGGAATTTTATATTCCTCGGAAAGCCTCCCTTGCCCGCGCCCTGCGCGTCCTGCTCCAGTTTGCAGAGCGGGATGCTGAGAGGCTGTGGCATGGTCCATGGACAGGTGGGGTGGGGGGAGGGCAGAAAGCCGGAGGAATTGCCAGGATTCTCGCAGCCTGGTGGGGGTGTGCACGAAAATAGAAATTTGGAATTGGTCGCCCATCTGCAGGTGGCCATGGAGTGTCCCAGGGACCCCAGATTCAGGGGCCCCAAGAGATACCAAAGAGAAGCTGGGGGAAGGGGCTGAGCCGAGTGTATCTTGGCTCCACTGAGTGCCTTGGCTCCCCACCCACCTGGCTGGGTCTCAGACACTTGGCCCTGCCCTCAGGGCCCATCCCCCTGCCTTGCCAAGCATCACTGGGTGCTAGAACTCGCCGATGCTGCTGGCACTTTTGGAAAAAAAAAAAAAAAAAAAAGGCAGAAAGAGCTGTGTTTTTACTGACAGCTCAACGTACTGGAAAGCCACGAATCAGCCTCAGCCCAAGTGATTGAATTAAGGGCTGTGGCCATGGCATTTCAGGGATTTCCTGGCATTTCAGAGATTTCTCAAGTGTTTTGAATTTGATCAATTTCTGTATTAGGTCAATTTCACTCAATTGTTTTGAAAACTTTGAGCATGCATTTTTGACCCGAGTTCAATTTCATCACTCAAGTTGTCCATTGAGGACATGATTGCATAGGCAAAGCCTTGCATGATTCTTCTACCAAGTGCACACACCTTGCAAAAGCAATTCTGATGAATGCCAACCAAGGCTTGACCTGCTTCACCTTACTGGCTGGGATAAATCCCAGAGGCCTAAAGGCTTTGCAGCTGTGGCAAACAGATGTTATTCATATTGCCAAATTCAAAATTGGCTGATTTGGGTATGTGCATGTGTTTGTTGATACTCTTTTCTGTCATGTGGGTATCTACTCACACTGGGAAATGGGTTTTGACAAGTTGGACTGCCAGTCCTTTGGCAGACTGACAATGAGTTGCTACTATCCTAGAGTTGGTAACTGATTTCTTGAAATTTATAATAGAAGTTTAGAATCTCTTTGACTGTTCTGAGCCAATATCCAATGGGGGTTTTGAATTAGCAGCTGATGAACCTCAAGGTCATGTTTTTCCTCTTCTCTGCAAGGGGCCCTGACAAACACCGCCTCCTTCTTTAAACAAAAAGGGGGAAATGTAGATATTCTCAGTTCAGTCAGAGAGAAAATGAAGGTTTCTAACCAGGTAGAAGCCTGGGAAACAGTTGCGAAAGAATGTAAATAATTCTTTATCTCTCTTGTTGTTCACATTGTTTATAGATAAGTTCTGCCACTGTGCGTCATTCACTGCACACGAATGGGTGAGATGTTTTTACTTCAGGAACAATAGAATTGGTCTGGACAATATTCTCTATAAAAGAGCGATGTATTTGAAATAAATCAGAGTTCTACTCTCAAGCCTTCTAAAGTGGAGTCCTTTCATACCGTCCTGCCTCAATGGCATCAGTGAGTGGTTTGTGTTTAGCAGACTTCAGATATATGCATCTGATAGCTCTATAAATTGGTAGCTTTTATTTGCAAAAAGAGTAAAATTGTATTGCCCTTGATTTAAGTGAGTCTTTGCTTCTGGTTAGGATAAATTTTATGAAAAGGAGTCTTTTTTTTTTCAGAATTTTTCTTTGAAGATGCACAAAGTGGATGCATTCACAGAGATGCAACAAGATGGGAGTTTTGCAAAGTGTGAGAAATGAACCTCACTCTTGAAAATTTTTAAAAGTTTAATAAGGGACAAAATAACAGTGCTGGGTGCTTGCTGACGACGGGAGGCACATCAGCTAACCACAGCAACTCTTCTTATATACTTTTTCTATTGCATTGGTCAAATACATATACATAAGGATTATACATATTCAAGCATTCCTTTGAACTCGTTTACATGTTCCAGGAATTCTTTAGCTTGGTTCAAACCTTGACTCGCCTTTTTAGAGTACATGCAGTAATCGTGGATCTGGTTTTGAGGGTCATGTGTCACTTCCTAACAATGGCCCCCTGTTCTGTGGTTTCAGCAGGTGACAGTCATTGATAGTCGAAGGGTCAGTAGCAGGGGTCCTCATCATATCCATTCATTAAAAGTTATCTGACCATGCAGACAATTTTAGCTATTTCCATTATTGTAAGATTACCACAAGTACTTTAAATCAACATTCAGCTATTTCACAAATGTCTGAGTTATTTTCATTATTGTCAGTTAGTTACAAAAATAAAAGTATAGTTATTATTTCACAACTACAGCTACTTCTGCAAAAGTTAACATTATAATGCACAACACGTAGCATCCACTTTAATATTTGGGAAAGCTAAAACTATATGTTTATCACACTGTCCACAAACTAAAATATCATCCATAAATGATGTTCTGAGGATACAAGCTACACAGGGGCTAGAGCATTGGCCACAAAAAGCTGACAAATTATACTATATCAAAAGCAGTTATAAGTGATTAAAAGCTGTACTATATCAAAATCATTATGATTAATAAGAAATTGCAAAAGCCAATACATAATAGCAAAAGCAAACAACTACATAGTTTTTTATAGTGAAGTCTTTCAGGATTGTAATGTGAGAAATGACTGCTCACTTAAAAAAATTTAAAGGGTTTCTTAAACTTTAACAAAAATACAACAAAAGGACTAAATAAGGAAAAGTAGGCCTGGCAATTGCCCTCATGGCTGCCCACCACGTGGCTGGCTCATCTTCAAGATGGATTTTTCGCCTTTTATATCTCTAGCCCCTCCTAGAGCCTTGTCAGTCAACTCCTTCCTTGCTGTCCAGTAGTAGAAATCACTTTCTTACATTCTGATTGGAGGTCAGGTGCTGCCATAGTAACGAGCCAACCTTCCCAAATCTCCGGATTACCAAGACCATCCCATGATAACACATACTGGGGGGAGCACATTGCAGTAACATAACTATACATTTATAAAACTTCTTTTACCATACATATAAAATTTACCCCTGAATTGTGAGAGCCAACCATTTACTCATCTATAACAGTAACAAGTATTTTCATAGTAATTTCTCAAAAAACAAATAATTTCTTAGAAATATTTTGTTTTGTCTTAGATACTGTTCTTGCATGTTTTTTGATATTTAATGGTTGCTACTCTTTTAAGAGACTGTAATGTTATGGTTAACAGCTTAAACATTGTTATGAAGTACTTTTTGCCCATTATGGCAAAATTGTGTATAAAAATATAGTTGAAAAAGTGTGGTAGTGTGGTTCATACAACAAATGTAGCTTGAAGTTTGGCAGTCCATATTAGAACAACTGTATTGTGTTTGTGTGGCCAGGTTTTGGCAGCAGGGGACTACAGGGATGGCTTCTGTGAGAAGTGCTGAGAGCTTCCTCTATGTCCAGCAGAGCTAATGTCAGCTGGCTCCAGGACAGACCCGCTGCTGGCCAAGGCCGAACCAATTAGAAATGGTGGTAATGCTTTTGTGATAACATATTTAAGAAGGGGGAAGGAAACTTCATGAGAGCAATTGCAGCCAGAGAGGAGTTGAGAGTATGTGAGAAACAACTCTGCAGACAGCAAGGTCGGTGAAGAAAGGGGAGGAGGTGCTCCACGTGCTGGAGCAGATTTCCTTGCAGCCTGTGCTAAAAACCATGGTGAAGCAGCGGTGTCCCTGCAGACCATGGAGGTCTTCTGACTACGTATAAACTACACTTTATATCTCCCAGTTCTTGATATCTTGCTGGTTTGTTTTGCATCTCTTTCCTGAAGTTTCCCTTCTTTTTAAAGAGCAGAGACCAAATGTCAAAACAAATAGTGGATGAGTCTGTTTTCTCTTTCATGTTTCAGTATAAGAATGGTAGTTGACTAGTGATGCTAGTGTATGAAGGCCAGAGAACTATTTAGAGAATGCAGTAAGCCTCATTTTCTATTTGCTTTCAGGTGGAAATGGAAATATCTTACTGCCTTTCATTCTTCACAGGGTTACACATCATTTTGGAATGATTGCATCTCCTCGGGATTGCGTGGCTGTATGTTAATTGAATTGGCATTGCGAGGGCGTCTTCAGTTAGAGGCTTGCGGAATGAGGCGTAAAAGTCTATTGACAAGAAAGGTAAGTGGAGGAAACTGATCACATTTACTTTTGTGTCATGCTTCAGGCAATATAGTAGCTGTAAATTAAGGGTGATTGTAACAAATACACTTTTTTTTTTCTTTATATGGGTGTTGAAGTTTAGGATTTTTTCTTTTTTTTTCCTTGCTGTCATGTAATTTTGTCCTATTGGTTGCTAAGAGACAATAATGACCAGTACTTAAGAGAGACAAAAGATGTAGCCAAGGGGGAGGGGGAGGAGTGCAGCTGGAGGCACTATCTTGGCTGGGCGGCTTTCTCTTGGGAAGGGCAGAGATACCCTGAGATTTTGGCTGGGTGGTGAGGGGATGGGCTTGGCTTGTCTCTTGCTCTCCGGATTGAAGGGGAGACAGGCTGTGGTCACTGTGGGAAGAATTCGCCACCACTGCGGGGTTCCATCTCCTGCTGTCTTCTACCGTGAGTGAAGTTCTGCTCATAAGAGCAGCCATTGGACTGGGACCTTTTTAACACCCTACCTCACTGGAAAGGACCCTCACCATCTACTTGGGTGCCTCAGGGGAAAACCCGGTACCCCTCCCCCCTCCAAGGGAGCCTCTCCCGACCATGTTTGGGAGCCTGGCTGCTGCTGCCCAGCCCCACCCTTTCTCTGCCACTGCTCTGGGTTTTTTGCTACACTGTAACTCCTCACCTCCTGCCTGCTGGGACACCCTGTGGCTTCTGCTACAGCTGCAGAGTTTCTGTTATATTTTGTTTGCCACTCTGGGGGCTGTTTACCTCTGCCATTCTAGCTTGCTGCTTCCAAGGTTCCTGCTACAGCTAATTTCGCTATCTGGAGGGGCACCTGGACTGGCTGCCCCTGTGAGATTGTAAAGTAAGCCCTTTTTCAGTATCTTCCACTGGCTGTGCTCACCATTACCCACATAAAGAAGCAACTGAGCTCGCACCACAGCGCCCCCTGCAGCCGCAGGAGAGTTATCACACCTGTCTGGCCAGGAGCCAGCAGTGCCCCTGCCAGCTCTGACCATAACTACACCAAAGGGGAAAGTGCTTGACAGCTGAGAGAAGGCTATTGTTGGGTTTCTGTTCTTGTTTGTTGTTGCTGCTGTTGTTGTTTTTTGTTTGCCTTGTTATACATATACCTACTAGCAAAGAACTATTATTCTTTTTCCCATATCTTTGCCTGAAAGCCCCTTAATTTCAAAGTTAGAATAATTTGAAAAAAAGGGGCACATATTTTCCATTCCAAGAGATGTTCCCACCTTCCTTGGCGGACACCTATCTTTCAAACCAAGACAATGGGGATAGGGATTCTGAGTAGCAACCTAAGGTAGGTGCAGAGTTATTACCTAAAAGGTTTTAATGGTGAGATGAAGTACCTTGTAAAATCTTCTGCATTTGTTCTCTGTTCCTGTTTGTTCTCTTGATGTGTTCATACTGCACACAATCAGTTGTCAGCGGCTCTGGCCAGGGTGCTGTGGCAGCATTTGCTGCTGAGAAGCCAGTAGCACTAGTTGTAATCTAATGAAGGAACTGCATTTTGCAATGTTTGTGAGATGTTGGTTGGGGCTGAGAAACTCAGGTGTATTCTGCAAGTCACCAGTTTGATACTGGTGTACACAGTGCTACAATTAGTGCTTGCAATGCATGTGTTCGGGTTTAGAAATTCTCCTTTTGTTTCTTTCTCTTTGAGAATTTTCTCCCATTTCTTGTTGCTTAGACACAATGACTGAGTATTTAAGAGAGAGACAAGAAGTTTCCCCGGGAAGGGTGCAGCTGGCTGCCCTCTTATCTGGGAGGTTTCTCGTGGAGGGGCAGAGATGCTGGGAGAATTGGGCTGGGAAAAAGGGATTGGGTGCAGCTCCCACCTCTCTCTTGCTCTCGACTTTGGATACCACTGCAGGAGCCCAGCCAGGTCCTCCTTCTTCTGCAGTGGGGTGAGCTTTTGCTCATGAGAGCAACCACTGAACTGGGACTTTACTAACACTCTACCTCACTAAAAAAAAAAAGGACTTTCACCATCTGCTCAGGTGCCACAGGGAAAAACCCTGGGCTCCCCGAGCTCCCCCCCCCCTCCAAGGGAGCCTCTCTCTCGGGGCCGTGTTCAGGAGCCAGGTGGCCACTGCCCAACCCCTGCCATTTTCTCTGCCACTGCTCTGAAGTTTCTTTGCTGCACTATAATTCGCACCCCCTGCCTGCCCAGACGCCCTGCGGTTCCAGCTACAGCTGCCGAGTTTCTGATACATCTCATCTACCACTCCAGGACTTTGCTCATCCCTGCCTTCCCAGCTTGCTACTCTGAGATCCCTGCTACAACTACTTTTGCTATCCAGAGGGGCCATTGGGATAGACTGTCCCTGGGCGTTCATAGAAGAAGCCCCTTCTCCATCCCTTTCTGCTGGCTGCATCCACCATTGTCCATGTGGAGAAAAGATGGCCGACTAGTGCCACAGCACCCTCTGCAGCCATGAGGGAATCATTACACCTGCCCTGCCAGCACCCCTGCCGGCTGCAACCTTAACTACACCAAAGAGGAAAGTGCCTGCAGCTGAGAAGGCTGTTACTGGGTTTCTGGTTCTGTTTTTTGTTGCTGCCATAGTTGCTGCTGGTTTTTTGCCTTATTATACATACTAGTAAAGAACTTTTTTTCCTTTTCCCATATCTTTGCCTGAAAACCCCTTAATTTTGATGGTTTAATAATAATTTGGAGGGAGGGGGGTCGTATTCTCCGTTCCAAGGGAAGTTCCTGCCTTCCTTAGCAGACACCTGTCTTTCAAACCAAGACAGCATGGAAAGAAAACAATCCTTGTTCCTTGGGCCCATGAGAACACAAAACTAACTGTATCTAGTTTAAGCATGTGACCACTGTAATAACTTTCTTCTACTCACTAACCTTTAAGATGGGAAAATTTTTGAGATTCTTGACTGAATTACACTGAATATTTGAGGCACCATAGTTTATTACTTTTGGCACTGGATCTTTTTTCTTAGTACAAAATATGCAAAGTCACACTTTTTGAAGAATTTTTACTTTATCAGCATTAGAAGATTCTTGAGGTTCATAAGGAGCCTCAGGAAGAAATTTGGTCCAAACACCCCAACAGTCCACTGGATTCAAAATTAATCGTGACAGTTTCAAAGGGATATTTTCTGGAATTGGCCATATGTCTACCGGTAAACGAACCAAACATGTTGAGAATGGCTTCCTCGGCCTTGAGTGAGTCAAGCAAATGGTGTCCAGACCCGACACATCAGCTAGAGTTTCCCAGACATTTTCCCTGGGTTGACTCATGGGCAAGGCTGCATTGCTTAAGGCAACCAGTGAGATGATAAGGCAGAAGCATAATATCTGACCAAACTTCATGCTCATCTCTCGTAAAAATCCCCATAATATCTGACCGAGCTTCATGCTCATCTCTCACAAAAATCCCCAAACCTCAAGACAACCCTCCCTCACAAAACCGAGTCCACAAATTCTGCACGCAAGATGAAAAGATGACTGATGTCTGTGACGTCAACTGCAATTTTGACACTGGTTCACGTCTGTGTGCTTGCTTCTCTGTTCGCGGGGTCACCACCTGCTTGCTTCTGGACTCAATAGGGTTTCATGTGTTTTGCCGGAATCCACTTCGGTCCTGCACCAGTGGAGACACAAGCATACCCTTTGCCCCAGGTTATTAGTGGGAATGGGCCTTCAATCTGCCCTGTCTCTAGGTTTCTGATCAATACTAAAGTATTTTCCCTTAGTTTTGCCTGGGTGTTGTTTGAAAAATGCCTGACAACTGGCGCAGTGGGTTCTGTAAAGGAGCTGTTCAAGAAGTTCAAAACATACAGAGCTTTGTTGAACTGCATCTGAGGCGTGGCCACTGCTTCCCCCCTTTTCTGTTTCTCCAAAAGAGATTTTAAAGTGTGCTCTGTCCTTTCAATGATGGCCTGGCCCATAGGAGAATGAGGGATGCCGAAACTGTGACAAAAGCCCCAATTTTTTAATAATGTGTCAAGGGTTTGTCCCCTGTAAGTTGAGCCATTGTCTGTTTTGACTTCTTGAGGAACACCCAATGATGCAAATGCCTGAAAAAAATGCTGACATGCGTGCTTTGCTGTTTCGCCTGTGTGTAGGGAGGCAAAGATGGTGCCTGAGAAGGTGTCCACTGGCACATGAACATTTTTGAGTCTCCTGAAGGACGGGTATTTTGTGACATCTGTCTGTCACAACTGCAGACTCTGCAATCCTCTCGGACTGACTGCTCCTGTGGAAACAGGAGGTTGCATGAGCTGACAATCGGGGCAAGCACTTATGATAGCCATCGCTTGGTCTTTGGAAATGCAAAATGTCCGCATCAGTGCTTATTCATTTTGATGAAAAAAATGCATGACTCAGTTTTGCCTGCTCAAAAATGTTTGCAAAGGTGTTTGAAATGATCATGGTCAATTCATCTGCTCGTGCGTTTCCTTCCACTAAGAATCCTGGAAGAGAAGAGTGTGCTCTGATGTGGGAGATAAAGTATTTGTGGTTTATCTGCTGTAGCATTTTCTGCATGCTTACAAGATAACAATAAAAATCCTCATTATCAACCTTTTTCAAAAGTGACCCTTCTATTCTTTTGACTATATTTGCTACATAATCTGAATCTGTTTAATAGATTGAGAGTTTCTTGAAACAATTGAAATGCTCTGACCACTGCTGCTAATTCTACAATTTGAGGTGAGCCCTGTATTGTTTGGATGTCCAATTCCCACTCTTTTGTGGTTGCATTTTACCAAGTTATTACTGATTTATGTGTTCTCCCTGAACCATCGGTGAATAATGTTATTGCGTCCAACAGTACTTCGCTTATCACGGGTTTTTCTCTGAGGCTTAATTTTGTTTGCAGCAGCTTGTGACTCGGGAAATGAATTGAACAAACACCTGAATAATTTAGCAAATCCTCTTATCTTTGCAGTGCCAAATCAAAATATTCTTTTTTCAAAGGCAGGTAAATTATCGCGAAGTCATTGCCTGCCATTGCTAACAATATGGCTCT